GTTAAAAGGAAAAGATAAGATCTGATGAGATTTAAAATCTGATTTGATCTTATCAAAAATAGTTTTAAGCTCTGTAGACCCACTTGGTCCATTATTAATGTAGGACCCACTTTTGGGGTCCATTTTCCTTCCGTTTTGTCTATATAAGAAAGACTAACTCTCAGGTGAAGGGATAGGTCTTTCCAAGTTTTAGTTTTAAGTTTCCACATTTCTCTCCCTATTGTAAAAATATTCTAGTATGATATAATAAAAGCTTTGGTTTAAAGATCTCTGTTCAAGGTATTATTTAATTTCTTATTATTATCTTTTCTTGTTTGCCGCCTCCATGGCCGGCTAAGTTATTTTCATATCTATGCTAACTTCTTAAGATCTGTAGGATGTTCTTATTCACTATCTGGATCTAACTAAGTTATAATGCATTCATATTATAGTTCTTTATTCTTTTATCACAAGTTTTGACTTGGTTTCAAGGTGGTGGAAAATATTAAATATCAATAATAGCGAGCATGTAGTATTTGTAAGTCCCCGTTTGAAGTTAGGGGCAGCCTAAAACCCTTGTTAAAACTGCTATCAATTAATGTTTAAAATGATCTCCCATGCTTGAGTAAAAGGTTACCATACAGCCGAAACTTAGGATAAAACTTTAAAAATAACTATAATACGTTGCATATTATAACCTGGTGTACAAAACTAGATCTGGATGGCCGTGCGGACTACCGCCAGCTTTTAGATCCTAAAATGGTATTATTATTATTATTATTAAAAGAGAGATTAAATCTTTAAAACAAAATCAATTGATTACTGATTATCGTATTTCTCAATTAGAAAATAATATTTCTGATATAAATAAAAATGATTCTACTTCTGAAAAAGAAGAAGATGATATTCCTGAGCCAAGTGTTAAATTTCTTGGAATGCTTCAAATTGTTACTGCCTATCGTTGGTATATAAATTGTACCATTCTTATTGATAATGATTTTAAAATTTCCAGTATTGCTATGATTGATAGTGGTGCTGATGTTAGTTGCATTCAAGAAGGATTAATTCCTTCAAGATATTTTGAAAAAACTACGTATATTGTTAAATCTGCATCTAATCATGCTTTAGATATCAAGTATAAATTATATAATACTTGTATTTGTCAAAGTAAAGTTTGTATTCCTCACTTCTTCTTTTTGGTTAAAAATTAGTTAAATCCGCCAATTATACTTGGCACTCCTTTTATAAATGCCATTTATCCCTTTTCAAAATTAAATGCAAAAGGTTTTACAGCGAATTATAATGGTAATACCATTAATTTTGATTTCATAACTGAACCAGTTATTAGAGATATTAACTCTTTGATTCATTTAATGCAAAAACATATTGAATCTTTACAAATGGAGATTTACAGTTTGAATATTTCAGAGTCTTTACAATCTCCTAAAGTCCAGGAAAAAATTAAATTAATTTCTGGCAAAATGACTTCTAATATTTGTGCAGAACATCCAAATGCTTTTTGGGACAGGAAAAAGCATATTGTAACTCTGCCTTATGAAGATTCTTTCAATGAAGCAGATATTCCTACAAAATCTCGTCCCTATCAAATGAATTCTGAACTTATCGATTTCTGCAAAAAAGAAATTGATAATTTATTAGCAAAGGGACTTATAAAACCCTCTAAATCACCATGGTCTTGTACTGCATTTTATGTTAATAAAGCTGCAGAACAAGAAACAGGTGTTCCTAGGTTGGTAATAAATTACAAACCTTTAAACAAAGTTTTAAAATGGATTAGGTATCCTATTCCCAATAAAAAGGATCTTCTTTCTAGATTATATGATGCGAATATATTTTTAAAATTTAATTTAAAATTAGGGTATTGGCAGATACAAATTTTTAAAGAACATACTTATAAAACTGCGTTTAATGTTCCTTTTGGTCAATACGAATGGAATGTTATGCCTTTTGGATTAAAGAATGCACCATCTGAATTTCAAAAAATTATGAATGATATTTTTAGTCCTTATATGGATTTTATTATTGTTTATATTGATGATATTCTTGTTTATTCTAAAACATTAGAATCTCATATAAAGCATCTTGATATTTTTATAAATATTGTTATACAAAATGGTTTGGTTATATCCAAGACCAAGTCTTTTCCAAACAGATGTAAGATATTTGGGTCATCAGATTTGCCAAGGAAGAATTACTCCAATTCAAAGATCCATAGATTTTGCATCAAAATTTCCGGATGAAATTACTGATAAAACAATGCTTCAAAGATTTTTGGGCAGTCTAAATTATATTTCTCCTTTTTATAAAAATCTTTCTAAAGATCTTGCTCCTTTAACTGACAGGTTAAAGAAAGGAAAGATGTCTCCTTGGAATGATAATCTGACTAATCTAGTTAAATCTATTAAAAAGAGAGTTCAATATTTGCCTTGCCTTTCTCTTGCTAATCCAAATTGGATTAAAATTATTGAAACTGATGCTTCAAATATTGGTTATGGAAGAATACTTAAACAAGTAAATCCCCATGATAAAATTGAATATCTTATTAGATTTCAGTCAGGCAAATGGTCTGATTCTCAGCGCAAATATGCGACTATTGCGCATGAAATGCTTTGTATTGTTAAATGTGTTTTAAAGTTTCAAGATGACTTATATAATCAAAAATTTATTATAAGGACTGATGCTCAATCAGGTAAATATATGTTTGATAAAGATTTCAAACATGATATTTCAAAATTAATGTTTGTTAGGTGGCAAGCCCAACTAGCTCCTTTTAACTTTGAAATCCATTATAAAAAGGGATGTGATAATTCTCTCCCTGATTTCTTATCAAGAGAATTTCTTAATTCTTAAAAATGTCTCCCTATTGTTATGAGATTGGAACTAAGACTCTCATTACTATTTTCAAAATACTTCAACCTTTAAATTCTGATCTAAAGGAAATTATTATTGATAAAATCTTTTATAGTCTTATTATGGAAGACTTCATTCATGATTATGAGACTATTTTCCTAAATGATGATAATTGGGAATATGATATTAAAGGACATTTTGATAATTATTAAAATTTGTTCTTCTTTTCAGGATGGCAGGAGGTAATGAACCTCCATGGTCACATATCCGTGGCCGAGGAGGAAGAAGCAGCAGGGGTAGAGGAAGATCATCCTCTTACCAATCTATAAGGTCGTCATACAACTCTTCTTATCCAGTTATAAAACATGGTCACAAAACCTTGATTAAATCAAAGGTTGGAGAAGCTTCTTTGTCAGCTTCAACTACATTAAATCTTAAGGATATTCCAAAAGAAAGTTCATTATATGAACAAATCCAAGCATATCTGCAAACAAAAGAGCAAAGTCATACTTTTGCTTCTATAGCCAAAGAAATTGACCCAGTCAGTAATCCAGAAGAAACGGACAAAAAAGAAATTATATTTCTTTTGGAAAATTATGATATTCAGAGAAAAAATGAGCCCTGGAATATACTCCAGAGATATCTCACGAAAGGATTATATTTTCCTGGCGAGACATATAAGTCTCGAACTTACTATGAATCTATTCTTAGTAATACTAAAAGTGTAGAATTTCAGCACTTTTCTGACTTTGATAATACTATTTATAATTTCTCCAAAATAACCTTCAAGCAGATTATATCAGCTTAAGATTAGGGAATCTCTACTCTTCAAGAAAAACAAGTTATGGTTAATGGGGTAAATATGAGTTTTACCTACTGGGATTATATCCAAGCTTTTAACAAAGTTTTTTATTATAATAATTATAAGCAAAAGCACACTTGGTTTGTAAAAATATGTGCTAATGTTTTTTCTAAAGATTTACCAAATTGGTTTTTAAATTGGTGGTCTTTCCATGGACCAATGGTAAAGATTTTAGCAGATAACTTTTTTATTCTTTATAAGGAATGGGCAAAAGTTTCCCATTTATTACAAACTTATTTTTACAAGATCATGTCTTTTGTATTGATAAAATAGATCAGATGTATTTCTTTATAGAGTTCTCAATTCCTTGGACCCATTAAATGGACTCCAGAAATGGGCTATACCCCAGGAGAAAACATCCCTTGCTTATACAAGAAATATTTTACAAACTTCTGGGACAAATTAAATCGAAAGGATCCAGCTACAGGAAAACTATATGGACAAGAACTTTTGGACCAGATCAGCAACACTATAAAAATTTATCAAGAAATTCCTATTATTATTATTATTATTATTATTATTATTATTATTATTATGTGTTGTCAACTGAGTGACAAAGGGTGTTAATATAGTGGGTTGTAGGCTATCTGTGGGCTTTACTTGCCAATGTCTTATCAGACAAGTTCTTTGCATCGAATTTTCCAAATACAATTAATATCTCCTGTGTGATTCATGAGTTAGTGTATAACCTGAAGAATAGCGAGAGGGCGGCTGACCAATAGTGTGAAACTCTTTTCTGACCATGATTTCATATTTCAAAATTAATTATCAATTTACCCATCGTTCGTCCCCGAACGATCACAAGAAGAAAAGCAAGGGCGAGAAAGAGTACCTGAACTTGTAAAAAGATGTGGATATCTTTCTTGCATATCAGCCTCATTCTCCCAAATGGACTCTTCAACTGACCGATTCTTCCACTGAACTTTGATAGATGCAATCTCCTTTGATCTCAACTTGCGGACCTCTCTATGTAAAATAGCAACAGGCTCCTCCTCATAAGACAAATTCTCATCAAGAAGAACTGAATCCCAACGAATAATGTAGTTTTCATCCCCATGGTATTTTTTCAGCATAGACACATGAAATACCGAGTGCACTCCTGGGAGTCCTGGAGGCAATGCCAATTCATAAGCCACCTTCCCCACGCGCTTCAAAACTTCAAATGGACCAATATACCTCGGACTAAGCTTACCTCGCTTCCCGAACCGCATCACCCCTTTCGTGGGTGAAACCTTCAGCAAGACCTGTTCACCCTCCATAAAATCCAAGTCCCTAACCTTTCGATCTGCATATTCTTTCTGCCTGTTCTGAGCTGCTAGAAGCTTCTCCTGAATGAATTTTACGTTATCTAACGATTCCCTCAAGAGATCGGTACCACATGGTCTCACCTCAAATGCATCAAACCACCCAATGGGAGACCTATCTCCTCCCATATAGTGCCTCAAATGGGGCCATATCAATACTTGAGTGATAACTATTATTGTATGAAAACTCTGCTAAGGGTAAGAAGTTATCCCAATGACCACCAAATTCTATCACACATGCACGAAGCATATCCTCCAACACCTGAATCGTTCGCTCAGTCTGGCCATCGGTCTGAGGGTGAAACGCAGTACTAAGATCCAACCTAGTACCTAATTCAGCATGCAATGTCCTCCAAAACTTAGAAGTAAATTGCGTACCTCTATCTGATATAATGGAAAGTGGAACTCCATGCAATCGAACAATTCCTGAGATATAGAGTTTGGCTAACTTCTCTGCATTGTAAGTCACCTTGACCAGAATGAAGCGAGCAGACTTAGTTAATCTGTCAACAATTACCCAAATAGAATCAAATTTACCCAATGTCTTTGGAAGACCAACCACAAAATCCATTCCAATTCTTTCCCATTTCCATTCAAGAATGGGCATTTTCTGAAGTGTTCCTCCGGGCCTCTGGTGTTCATACTTTACCTGCTGACAATTCGGGCATTGGGCAAAAAAATCAACAATGTCACGCTTCATTCTACTCCACCAAAAATGTTGCTTTAGGTCACGATACATCTTAGTTGCACCAGGATGTATAGAATACCTTGAACTATGAGCCTTTGTAAGAATAGTGTAAATCAAATTATCAACACGGGGCACACATACCCTTCCTTTAATTCTCAAAACGTCTTCCTCATCAATTATTGCCTCTTTAGCCTCTCCTTGTAATACCATATCTCGAATTCGGCTCAGCTTCTCATCAGTAAACTGTTTTCCCTTAATTCTGTCAAGAAAATAAAATCTTGCCTCCTCACAAGCCAAAAATCCTCCCTTCTCTAGTATTTCCAGCCTCATAAAGTCATTAGCCAGAGTCTGAACCTCTCTAGTCAATGGGCGTCTAGAAACCTGTAAGTGGGCTAGACTTCCCATGCTCCCTGCCTTTCTACCTAAAGCATCTGCCACAACATTAGCTTTTCCTGGGTGATACAAAATAGTAATATCATAGTCCTTCAGTAGTTCCATCCACCTCCTCTACCTCAAATTCAAATCTTTCTGAGTAAAGACATACTGTAAACTACGATGATCTGTATAGACTTCACACTTGACCCCATATAGATAATGTCTCCATTGCTTTAATGCAAACACGACTGCAGCCAACTCCAAATCGTGGGTCGGATAGTTGAGTTCATGCACTTTTAATTGCCTTGAAGCATAAGCAATTACATTCCTCTCTTGCATTAGCACTACACCCAAACCAGAATAAGATGCATCACAGTAAACAATGAAATCCTTACCTTCCTCTGGCAAGGTTAGAATTGGTGCAGTAGTCAACAAGGTCTTGAGGCTCTGGAAGCTTTCTTCACATTCGTCCGACCATACAAATGGAACATTCTGCTTAGCCAAATTTGTCAATTGGGAAGCGACAGAAGAAAATCCCTTAACAAATCGACGGTAGTAGCTAGCTAAACCTACAAAGCTCCTTACCTCTGTAACATTAGTAGGTCTTACCAATTCTTCACTACTTGAATCTTAGATGGATCCACCGTCACTCCATCCTCGGAAACCACGTGCCCCAAGAAGGACACTGAATCTAACCAAAACTCACACTTGGAGAATTTGGCATAAAGCCTTTTCTCTCTCAACAATTCCAATACAATATTCAGATGCTCCTCATGTTCTTTCCTGCTCTTTGAGTATATCAGTATATCATCAATAAATACAATAACAAAGAGGTCCAGATATGGCTTAAGAATCCCATTCATCAGGCTCATGAAAGCAGCAGGGGCATTTGTAAGCCCAAAAGACATTACTAAGAATTCATAATGCTCATACCTGGTTCGAAAAGCAGTCTTTCGCACATCTGTTGCCCGTATTTTCAATTCATGATAACCAGATCTCAAATCGATTTTTGAAAAGTTACAAGCACCTTGTAACTGATCGAACAAATCATCAATGCGTGGAAGATGATACTTGTTCTTAATAGTTACCTTATTCAGTTGCCTGTAGTCTATGCACATCCGAAAACGTCCATCCTTCTTCTTCACAAATAAAACAGGAGCACCCCAAGGGGATGCACTTGGTCTAATAAAGCCTTTACTTAACAACTCCTGAAGTTGGGCCTTTAACTCCCTTAACTCGGATGGGGCCATTCTATAAGGGGGTATGGAAATGGGGCGAGTATCCGGCTCCAGATCAATACAAAAATCAATATCCCTATCTGGTGGCATACCAGGAAGGTCTGCAGGAAACACATCCAGAAACTCACGGACTATCGAAACAGACTCAATCGAAGGTACTTTGGAAGTATCATCCCTGAGATGGGCCAAGAAAGCTAAACAACCCTTACTAACAATCCTCTTAGGACGAAGAAAAGAGATAATATGAACTGGGGTGGGAATATAGTCACCCTCCCACACTAGCGGATCTGTCCCAGGCTTGGCCAATGTCACAGTTTTAGCATTACAATCTAAGATTGCAAAATTTGGAGAAAGCCGAGTCATACCCAGAATTACATCAAAATCAACCATTTCTAGAATAATCAAATCTACATGAGTATTGCTCCCCACAAAAGTCACAAGACAAGACCTATACACCTTCTCAACTATCACAGACTCACCCACAAGAGTATAGATATGAATAGGCATGTCAAGAAAATCACAATGTAAATCAAAACAAGTAGCAAAGGAGGAAGATACATATGAAAATGTGGATCCAGGATCAAATAATACAGAAGCCATGCAATCACAAACCAAAAGGTTACCTGTGATAACAACATCAGATGTCTCTGCTTCATACCTCCCGGGGAAAGCATAACAATGGGCCCTATCACCTGTCTGCCCGTTGCCCCTACCATGTTGTGCTGCAGTAGTTCTAACTTGCCCGCCACCCCGACTGATTTGGTGACCACCATTACCTTGGCCACCACGTCCTCCAGAATGGCGGCCTCTCCCATGACCACCTCTACCTCTAATTATTGGGGGTCTGTAACTCTGTTTTGGACAATGCCTCCTAATATGTCCAGTCTCTCCACATCCATAACAATCTATGGATTCAAGCATAGGTCTCTGTGAGAATGACGAAGTCTGGGGATAACCTCCAAACTCAGAGAAATGTAGACTGGTTTGCGATGGACCCCCAGCTACATCCTGTAGTGAAGACTGAATAGGTCGGGCGGGGTAACCTCCTGAACTCTGCCCTCTGGAGTAAGAACCACTAAACTCACCTCCCATACGGAACTTCTTAGATGTCGACGCCATGGTGAATTTTTCTGGCTTCACCCCCTTCACCTCTATCACAAAGTCAACCACTTCCTGAAAGGATTTTGCTGCAGAAGCTACTTGTAAGGCTGAGATCTGCAAATCTGACCTCAATCCTTTCACAAAGCGGCGAATCCACTCTTGTGAACTGAAGCAAAGCTGGGTGGCATACCCGGATAGCGCACAAAATTTGGCCTCATAAGCGGCAATAGACATCCTTCC